GGGAAGCCGAGCTGCACTGCGATCAAACCTTGGTCATATTGCACTAAGTTGGCCAAGTGAAATCAGCACGACTGGTATGGGACCATTGCATCGCTGGCTTCTCCTGGCAGTGTCTCTGAAGCCGGTACTGATCTTCTCAAAAGGAGATCAAGTGTAGCGTATATGACGTCATAATTTCAGCTCCGTAGTTCTTCGCTTTTTTCTGCGTTTTTCCTTACAGTTCGTTGACGTTCTATATATCGTTCAATTCCTAAGAAAATTCTCTACATTTTGGTGGTTATTTGATCTCATTTAGTCAAGGCGTTCTCAAGATATTCGAAAGTTTCACTTTGAAGCGTACGTTGTTATTGTTGTCATTATACGAACTATATATTTTGACTGTTTATACTCGATTATTTCGTCGATTTCATGGCTTATACCGGCTTACTTCCTACTCCAAACGTTTCCCAGCTAAAGTCTCCTGTTATGAGTGACTATGTTAAGAATTCCTATTATCCAATTCCGTTTCAAATCGTAAATATCATCGAGAGTTGCAACGTTAGTGAGACGGCTTCCTGGAATATAAATGTTATGGCTAAGAATATAAAGTTTAACATCGAATGGAATATCGGTCAAAGTAACTGTAATATTGACATTTTCCCGAAGGCTGTTGTTAGTACCATCTCAACGTATAATGTCGAGCAACCTGTGTGGTCTACTTCATTCGCAAATCAAAAACTTTCGCTTAAAATCGAGTGGAAATTAACGTCAACAAACCAAAATACATGTCGCTCGGCAGTAGCTACTCCCGTTAATACTACATTTCACCGCGTTTTTCCTGATTCTGGTTATCACTCTGGTCTTACAACGCCTTATACATCTACTGCTCCTGTCAATAGTAGATATAACTCATCGCTTCCTCGAACTAAATTATTTGATAGCCCTAGGAAACATGATGTTTATCGTCCCAATGGCAATACATCGAAAAATTCTCCTTCTACAAATCCTAAAAATCGTGTTCTAATTCCACCTGAACCTTCAGCAATTCATGATAAACCTGAAGTTAATAGCTCTAATGTTGTCCCTTTGAATTCCAATACAAAAGAGTACAAAGCTGAACAGTCCAAAGTTTCAGTTCCTGAGTCTGTTCCTGAATCTAAACCTGTAAAACCTTCCTCAACAAAACCGTCAGTTGAACTAATACCTAATGTGCACAAATTTGTAATTGATTACAGATCAACTGATGGTAATATACTAACTCTCCCTGATCCTCAAAATGAAGATTTTACCCCTTTTGATGATAAATTCGTTAAAACTCCCGATGATCTTAAACCCGATTCCAATGGTCTACTTCATGTCAATATAAATGCGGATCGTATGAACATTCCCGGTACATGCAGATTATGCAAGAAATCGCTCAAGTCACATCAAGTTGATGCACATCTAATTGTATGCCCTAATCTTAACTCCAGTGAGGTTGATGAGTTTATCCATGAAGTCTCTGAAGCTACTGGTGGTCTAGGTGGTGAAATAAACGACCAAATATTTAATTATTGCGAACTTGCAATTGAAGATTCCAATATTAATGACACTTTCCATAGTATTCTTAATTTCAAACAATTTATAAACAATCTCGAGTCTTTCCTAGATAAAAGAGCAATAGCAGTATTTAAGAAATGCAACATTCTAGGTCTCCAAAAACGTTCCAATATTCTAAACTATAATAAGTAACTTGAACTTTGACCTCCTAAAGGTCTCCAATTTTGACACTGATCTCAAAAGTAACTGTAGTGTAACATAACTATTAATGTAATAGTAACCCACATCTTATTCCATATCCTGTAAAAGTTTTTTCTCTATTGTTAATAAAAAATTTCTGTTCTTATCAGCTTAATATCTGATATGTTAGGCAATGCCTAACTCATATATTAAACTGATTTTTGGACT